TATATAGATGGCACTGTCTATACGAAGTTCGGCAAACAAAGCATTACACTTATTGAGCGCATTACACCTCTTATGAATATTCATCGAATGGGCGGTTTAATAATTTCAACATCTTTAGTAATTAACGAATAATTTAAAGTTATTCGATAAATTATTGAGTTGAGTGCAAGAAAATATCAAATCACACGCAAAACTATGGTAAAAATACTGTTGAAAGTCATACATTTTAACTTGCATTCCACTGTCAACTGTGATTACAAAAAAATTATATAAAATTTTTAATGATGAACTCTGTTGCATAGTTCCATTTTCTTACTCTTGCGAACCATGACATTATTCAACCACAAATCTCCATGGCAAATCGTCTTATATGACGTTTCAACAGCGCGACTTATATCCGAGTAAAAATGCGTTTCTTTCGGGAACGTTAAAGTTGGTTGAGTAAATTCAAATAAAAACTGATTTGTTGGCATTGATTTTGACACTATGTGTATAGTTTCATTCTGCAAAACAAAGGAAATTATTTTAGAGAGATGGAAAATTCGTTGGAGCCAATCAAACACACATTTCCCAAGTGGTTTTTTGAAGCCACTTTTACTTCAACAGCCTGAACTACACTTCCGAAATTTTCACCAGGTTTTATTAATGGTGTCAACGAATATTCGATGATCTCTCTTTTCAAACATTCCTCCAGAAATTCTGTAACTTCATTTCTTTCACTTAGTTGGTGAGTTGAAGGTTTCACTCTGAAGTCCTTGCACTAACTGATTTGGAAAGCAAAATATTTTCAAATCCATTGAATGAAGCTACAAAAATAATGATAAAATGTTATCATGCATGATTTGAATGATCACAGCGAACGGCAGTTCGCGCGAGTGACGAAACCACATTAGTGTGTTGAAAAGTCGAACTCGCTACATATACACGTAATTTCCAGATTCTAACATGGAAGGCCTTTTGCCGCGATTGGTGTATGGTTCGAAAGCCCTTGGGCCATAGATCAAGAAAAAATATAAAAGTTTGACAATCGGTCCAACGATTTTTGAAGACAAAATATTGTCATTTCAAGAAAAGGGTCAAAATTCAGTTTCATGACCATAGATGGCACTAAATGAGGTCATTAACCCCTGAAACATCGATATATCGCTTGTTGTGTGATACGCACAATGCACATTCTGTGATATGCACATTTGACGATGTATATACATACAAGAACGCTCTCATTCCGGTTTTATTCGCGTTCTTCTATTCATTCGTCATACATACTTTATTCACGCTCTTCTGTCGTCATACATACATACACTAGGGTGGTCCCGAATATATACAAATTCGAATTTTGATCGCAGCACACTCTATATATGTTAGACTTGGTCCCACAAACATATGTGCAAAGTTTCAGCACTCTACTGTACCGGAAACACGTGCCTCAAACGCCTTGAAGATTTTCTGTCGACACGTATCGTCACACATTTCGAACAAATTTTTTTCGACAAAACTATATGATAAAAATGTGTATTGGGGGGTTTTTTGGCACGAGAAAACCGAATCTGGCATTAGTTTTGCGATACAAATAAGCTTTAACACACTTTTCATACAAAAATCTGATAAAATCACTAAAAATGTGGATTTTGTATGGGAGCTATACCTGTATGATATCGTAATGATCTGAAGCTTTGCACAAGCTATTTTTTTCACAAAAAAATAACATTCTGAAAGATTCACGGAATTTCAATGCAAACTTGGGGTACCTCCCATACAAAAATTTCATTTTTGAGCCAAAAATCAAAATTTTTGTATGGGGAGTAATTTTTAATTGAAATTTCTTCAAAGTTACTGAGATCATGTATTTTGGTAAGAAAATGAGATTCACACGTTTTCACGGTAATTATGTTACTGTAAGCATACATTTTGGGAAGAAATCCAAACAAATGTAGAATCCACTTTGTTTCGAAGAATATACTTCATTTCTTGAATACATTTCCAAAATCCATGCAAAATGTGGCACATGTTTACTAATACAAATATGATACATGTTATTTGGATGTACATTGTACATTGCGTATGTATTTTTGAAAATAGTAAAACGAAGAATATTTCAATTTCGGCGATTACATCACTATTCGGAGATTACAAATACATGTGTGTTTTACAGTGCTGTGCAAGCATGCGGCCTTATGCACAGTAACACACGAACTCCGTTTATGTGCGCGCGTTGCCTGTTATGTTTTGTGTATTGAATTGCGACTCAATCACAGTAGACGGCGCAGGCACTGTAAAACATAATGTACAATTTCATATATACACATAGAATAGCGTCGAATAACGTCGATTTGACGCGCATAGCGTTAAGGTTTCATATGGGGTGAATCTCATTTTCTTACCAAAATACATGATCTCAGTAACTTTGAAGAAATTTCAATTAAAAATTGGAGTACTCCCCATACAAAAATTTTGATTTTTGGCTCAAAAATGAAATTTTTGTATGGGAGGTACCCCAAATTTGCATTGAAATTCCGTGAATCTTTCAGAATGTCATTTTTTTGTGAAAAAAATAGCTTGTGCAAAGCTTCAGCTCATTACGATATCATACAGGTATAGCTCCCATACAAAATCCACATTTTTAGTGATTTTATCAGATTTTTGTATGAAAAGTGTGTTAAAGCTTATTTGTATCGCAAAACTAATGCCAGATTCGGTTTTCTCGTGCCAAAAACACCAATAAAACCCAATACACATTTTTATCATATAGTTTTGTCGAAAAAAATTTGTTCGAAATGTGTGACGATACGTGTCGACAGAAAATCTTCAAGGCGTTTGAGGCACGTGTTGCCGGTACAGTAGAGTGCTGAAACTTTGCACATATGTTTGTGGGACCAAGTCTAACATATATAGAGTGTGCTGCGATCAAAATTCGAATTTGTGTATATTCGGGACCACCCTAACATACACACATACAATCAGGTTTTTCTTTCGTGTGATACACACGCACACATATACAAATGAGCTCGAATCGGCCTATTCTATTGAATTTTAAAAACCTTTGCTCCGCTCTGCTCTGTGCTTTGTTTGATACTGATGCATGATTCGCAATGAATCATGCCTTTATTGCTCCTTGTGTGTGTACGTCGTTGGGAGACATTGAAGTGTAGTGAGCGCTTCACTACACTTCGATACAATATGTATGGGGGTATTGCGTTCCCCGTGATATTGAAATCAAAACAATGCAATGAATAACATCAAAAACAAAACTAAAGCAAACATTTGTAGTTTACTTTTTGGACATAAAGCAAATGTCGTTGCACAATCCATATGTATTATCTGAAGAAAAGACAACAAATTCAATCACGTAGATGTAGAAAATGACAAGTCATTAAACAGTTTCAACAGATTACTTAAACCTCCAAACAATCGTTACTATTCCTAATTAAGCTAGACCACTTCGTCGGTAGATGATAAAAATTGTGTCAAAATTGTGAGGATTTACCACAGTGTGAGAATGTTTGTAACCCAAATTCCAATAATTACAGACGCATTTTTAAAGCAAAAACAAACCTGTGCCTTTTCTTAATATTTGAAATAAAACATCGCTACGAACGAACGAACAAAAATGTAATTTTTATTGCCTACGAACACTACCTGTGCCACGAAATAGTGAGTTTTATGCAGTCATTCTTAGTTTATTGTTTGAAAACAAGTTCACAGCAGAGGATATTCAAAGATGATAAAGCCAGAGATGGATCTTGATGGCGAAAAGTAATATGAATAAATGAATGCAATATTTTTTTCTCTATTCATAGCTTCATGTTTATTCTCTCACTCAGTTGATGATTTTGAAACAAAATTACACTCCTGATGTCCATATGTTTCGATTGTCTGTGTTTGCAGTATTTGGTGGTATGTTGGTTATATTGGTGTTATGTTCACCATTATTAAAACCATTAGCTTGTCCACCTTGACTATCGGCCTCTTTTTTCTTCATCATTTGACTTTCGGAGAATTGTTTATTTGGCTCTTGGAAGTGTGTTGTCGATAATATAAAAGGCGTTAAATTTGGATGCTCCTTTTCATTTTGCAAAAAGTAATCTTTTTTATCGCGTTCTATATATATAAAAAAACGAAAACTGAAAAAAATAAAATAAACAAATTGTGTTGAGACTCATACTTATGCGTTCAAGTTGTATCTGTTGTTGCGATACATCTATGTCATTGATTTGATGTAACCAATAAACATATTTGGGGAACCATGATTTCAGTGCCAATTCTTTTTCTCTTTTACTTAAACCGCTGTATCGAATCGAATTGGTGGTTAATTTTTTCAATATTCTCATATCATGCCGATACGATGAAATGAACACGAATGTAATATAAAAATCATGAGTCAGTGGAAATGCTTCCCAATAAGAGGGATCGTCTGATGAAAGTACGAGTGGAACATTATTCGCCAATAGGACACCGATCGGATGTGATCGGAAGTCATAGGTTAACTTCAAAACATCATTCGAAATTGAGCATGCCTCAAAGCAAATATCACGTTTTTTCGCCAATTCCATTAAATACGGATGCTTCACTATTGAATATCCATTTCCGATGCGCTTGACCGGCATGTGAATGGCATCATACTGAAAATGATAGATAAAATTCAATAAAAATAATTAAAACTTGAAAAAAAAAAGAAAATTAAAATTTTCTCATTGGCTCATACTAAGTTATCGTCGACGGTTCCGTAGAAATTCGTTTCGGTGGCATGGTAAAAAAAATTGGTATTTGAATTCAAGCTTTTATTGTACGATAGATAAAAATCCGACATCGATGTACTTTCTTCGTGTCCAGTCAAGTCGATGCCGATTAAAAATCCAGAATCATTTCGACGCCAATCGACGGCTCGTTCTCTTGCGTCCAATTCCAGTAATTGCTTATAGGTTAAAAAAATATCTTCTTTTAGCATATTTACATTGTCCAGATGCTTATATGGTGAGTATATCAATTTAGCACCTATCCATCCTTTCGCCCGATTTCGTGGATTTAGGCGAAAATTTTCACAAACTCTTTTGTAAATTTGAAACGTTTGAGTCGGCAACAATCGTGAATTATCCAAATCGTATGCCGTTCCCAGTGTTACTTTTATTTCAACGTATTGAATATTATCGGCGAGCATTTCTTCGAGGCCAAATTCAAGATGTTTCTCAAGAAATGGCACATAATTCAAAAGTCCACCAATCACATCAAAAATATTCGCAAATGCATCCCATGCTCTGTTCGAAATAGAAAACGATTTAAAAGATTTATCCTATTTGGTTCTTTCCCTTAAGATCCACAGGTTTTGGATCCACTTACGGTTTAACTTTGGTAAATCGAGGCTTTGACATTGCATTGACTAATTTGTTGAGTGTTAACAACGGTCGAAAGATCTGTAAGAATTTTTGTTCTCCAACATCCATATTATGGTCGCCTAAACGATAGACGACATCTTTAAGTCGTGTATATTTCAATGGATCATCCGGTGCATTTGGTTCGGATCGTGACACCTTGAAACCCCTAATGTCCAATTCGTTGCTTTTGTGATGTTTCAAATAGACCATGTCATAGTGTTGGCCACAAAAAACGCGAGTCGGCATGTGCATCAAGTAATCAATGGTGCCCATTGCCGTTTGATGGCAATGCAAGTATCCAAATTTTGGCATCAATTTTATCAAATTAAATAAATCGGAATTTTTTATATCCCGTAATATATCGAATATGTCATACAGACCAAGATACTTATTTGATAATTTAACGCCCATTTCATATTCAACTTCTTTCAGTATCATTAGCTTTTCGTTGGCCACGCGTTCCAATCTTTCCAATTCGCCCCTTCTAACACCTAAACTTTTTGCATACTTTTCCAGCACATAGTCAATGAATTGTTGATTTTTGTTGATATCCCTTGCGTAACCAAAAGACATGCTCAATTCTCTATCGATCGCCGATTCAACGTTTGCACGATGTTGATCTGTGAACAGTTCTTTGTTCTTTTTAAAAAACGATGAAAGACCACCAATGACCGGGCTTAGAAAAACCAAACATATTGTGATCACCGTCGTTGATCGCATACTGGAAATAGGTACTATAATGATGCATGTTATATTTCAATTCAATTTTTTTGTTCAGTCAAAATTTTTGATTAAAAAAGTTTGTTAGTCAATGCCAGTTGAAAAATTCCACTTACTTCCAATTGTTTCTTGTTCTCTTTTGACTTCGATCGACTAGTTTTAATTCAAATAAAAGCCACTTACACTTGATATTATCGGCATCGCAATGAAATTGATCCAATACTCTCTTTTGTTTCGTTCTCGAAGATAATTCTATGAAAATGATCCATTTTATTTTGATCCACGTCATTTTAACGTTTAAATATTCAAAACAAATTCCAGAATTTCAATTGCACATAAGGTCGACGCGTGACAAGTTTTCTGAATATTCATCAGATCGAGAATAATCGTCGCTGAACGCATATACAATACTTGTTGAAATTTATAAGATACCCACGCGCATCGATGAAAAACTGTATCAAATTCAAAATGTAGTTAATTCTTGTTAATCGATAATATAAAATAACATGAAAACAATTCAAGGTTGAAATCGATAGGTGTCTGAAGAGAATAATTGTTAAATATCTATTGAGTTCGTATTCTGAACTAATCCTTTATTGATTGACGTCATATCCAATATTCTCATCATAAATGGACACAGGGGGCTTTGCTCGTCCGAATACGTAACATCACCAAGTTTGATGAAGTTTTAATCAAAAATATGGGTACCTCCCATAAAAAATTCTTGTTTTCTTGCTCAAATACGAAAAAAATTAAAATGTTGTATGGGAGGTACCCTTATTTTTGATCGAAATGTCATCAAAGATTCACAAGTTTTCACGCTGATTGGGCTACCGCAATTTTTTATGATTTTTCGGTAAAATGGTTCTCTTTTATTTTCAAGTCGCTGCCTTATATCAAATAGAAAGTTGAAAATTCTTTCATATCTTGAATCTGGAGACCATAAGACACCAATGAAAAATAGTTCCACCCTAATCAGTAAGTTTGATGACATTTCGATCAAAAATAAGAGTACCTTCTATACAAAATTTTTGTTAACCGTCCCAAAATAATCAACTGACTGACTAATTACCTCGATTGTTTTCCATACAAAATTAGTGAATTTAGCTAGGAATTTAGCCAACTGACTTGAACATGTACCCTACAAAACAGAAGTGACGAAAGGTTAATCAAAATGTCATACTATTTACAACTTCTGAAGGTAAGACAATAAATCATTGAATAACAGTTAAATGAAACCATAAAATGATGACATTTTTGAGAGTCACAAATTGGTCACTAAAATATGACACCATTTATTTGGATCTAAGTATTCGCTTTGAAAAATTTCATTGATTTTCGACTTTTAGTGTGAAAATCGAAAATTTGACATTTCTATCCCAAGGAGTATGTCACAAATTCAAATGATGACATTTTTGAGAGTCACAAATTGGTCACTAAAATATGACATCATTTATTTAGATCTAAGTATTCGCTTTGAAAAATTTCATTGATCTTCGACTTTTAGTATGAAAATCGGAAAATTGACATTTCTGTCCCAAGGAGTGAGTCACAAATTCAAATGATGACATTTTTGAGAATCATAAATTGGTCAGTAAATCTGTGTCGAAGAATTTTTATGATTGCGGTTGTTTTTATGGAAAGCCTTTTCGAAATTTCGATAATAATTCTTTTTTAGGCAATTTTCACTTTTTTGTTCAAAAAATTTCCGCCAGATGTCGTATCGAAATTTTCAAAACATTTTTGGAAATCACAAATTAATCACTAAAATACTGCATCATTAGTTTTTTGAAATTTTGTTTTATTTCGAATTTTTCAAAATTTCATTTATAGACTTTTTGATGAATAGGCTTTTTCAAATTTAGGCCTGTAACTTTTTTTCTGGAGCGTCATAAATTCTAAAAATTGCGTCACAAATTTTCACTAATTAATCACTAAAATTGTGTGAAGTTTGAGCCCAATCGGGTACTTTGACCCCCTGGGTAGTGTGCGCCATTTTTTTCTTGCAAATAAAATTACAAAATTGTATAAATTTAATAAGTTTTGTAATAATAATAACGAAAATAATTAATAGAATTTATAATAAATAAAAAAAATTTGAAAAAACACACAAATATTTTATATTATCCACATGATATACCATCCGAGCATCATTTTCGGTATCAAATGAAAGCCACATATTAAATGGTAGTTGCCATTTGGTTGCATCAAAATCTCCAATTATAAATACACAATATATAGAATGAATAAATCCCGACATAAACATTGATTGATTCATCAAAAAATAATACGAAATTCGGCGAGTATACGATTGTGATTAAAAAGTAGGACCAGTTTTGTGAAAAAATGGAAAATCTTTATTTATTCTTCTAAATTCATTTCGTCGCCTTCAAAGTAATCCCCTCCGGCTGCAATGCACATATTCCAACGTTTTTTCCAGTCTTCGAAACAGTGCGCAAAGCTACTTGCCGGTATAGCCTTCAATTCACGTAGCGATTCACGTTTAATGTCTTCAATCGACTCGAAACGATGTCCACGGAGCGGCCTTTTGAGCGTGGAGAATAGCCAGAAGTCACACGGTGCTAGGTCAGGCGAATAGGGTGGTTGCGGAACGATATGAGTGGAATTTTTGGCGAAATGGTCGCGAATAATTAACGCAGTGTGAGCTGAGGCATTATCGTGATGCAAAGACCATGAGTTGTCATTGAATAAATCCGGCCGTTTTTTGCGAATTGCTTCTCCTTGTTGACAGTTTGGCCAGTTGGAAGAAATTCATATTGCACCACACCACGATAATCGAACTGTCAACATCACTTGATTTTTGAACGACTTTGACGTGATTTTTTCGGTTTTGCTTAACCTTTGGCACGATATTCGCTTGATTGATCGGCTGTTTCTGGGTCGTACGCATAAATCCATATCTCATCGCCAGTTGATGATGCGTTCCATGAGAGATTCATAGTCAGAAATCATTTCTTGACACACATTAACACGACGCTCTTTTTCGAACAAATTCAATGTTTTTGGTACCAATCGAGCTGCACAACGACGGAGATTCAAATGGTCTTTCAAAATTGTTTGAATCGACCCAAATGAAATGCCAGTAATATCAATAAGGTCTCTAATTGTCAATCGACGATTTTTGAGCACAAGATCTTTGATTTGTTTGACGTGTTCTTATCAGTTGATCTTCATCTTCAACACTTTCTCGGCCTTCTTTGAATTGTTTGTGCCACTTGTAAACATTTCTTTCGGACAACGTCTCGTCATCGAAGGCTTTCTTCAACATACAAAATTTAATGCAAGTTCTTTTCTCAACAAAATCAGACATTGTAAAAATCGCCAAATGTAAATTTTTTGATGTTAACAAACGAACATAACCAAAAACCTCATGGAAATATTGACATGAAAACTTGCACAGGTGTCAAAGACAGTGCCACAAATCTACAGCAAAAAGGTTTTTATGATACGATTTCCCCGTAAATTTCAAATTGAAAACTGGTCTTACTTTTTGATCACAATAGTATACTAACAATACCATCACAAGATGAGAACGCTTCGAATGCAGAGCACATATTTAATATATACAAATATCGTTTTCGATGATTCCGACAACAACAATGAATCAGTCTCGTCATTAAACTTTGCCGATGACAAGAAATTACTTAGAATAATCAAAATTCAATTGAAAATTTCATGAGGTGTGATCACAATGGGCTTCAGGTGAACATTACAAAGTGCAAAATAATGACATTGACACATATGAGAAACCCCATAGTTCATGATTATTTCATCAATAGGAAAATGGTTGAAAGAGTCACTGAAATGAGAGACTTGGGTGTGTTGATTGATTCCAAGCTTAGTTTCTCTAAACATATTGAATTGATGAAAAGTAAATCAACGTCAATGTTGGCATTTGTTAAGAGAACTTGTAGACGGAAATTTGACATAAAATGTGCCAAACTACTATAACGCTCTTTAGTACGGTCTAATTTAGAGTTTGCCAGTAACATTTGGCTA